AATACTTAATTGTATTGTATTGTATTGTATTGTATTGTATATTTATTATTATAAAAAAAAAAAAAAACAATATGGGCACGTCACAACGTGTGTTGTCGTTGCTACCATTAAATGCTGCTGTTGTTGCCGCTGCTACTGCTGCTCCTCCTCCTCCTCGAAAACGCCTGGATATGTAAAATATACAGAAAACGAACACACACACAAATACACACACACAGCCACACACACATATATATATATATATATATATATACGTTAAATGATAACGACTTTCTCTTCGAAAGATATTATAATATCTTGAAAAAAAGAAAAAGAAAAAAAAGGAAATAAAAAAGAAAATGAAAGACAGTTTATATTAGACCAGTTCGAGTTGCAACGTTTCAATTTAATTTATTCAAGAACAAACGACGTTTAAGGCATATCGAGAGTATACATTAAAAAATAAATGGATTTAATGAAAGAGAGAGTATATTATAGGAAGGAAGAGAAATATTTATGGGTTGTATATAAATCGATTGTCCTTTCGATCGATCGAGACACTATCGAGATCTCGTTAAATTTAAATTAGAAAAAAAAGAGAAAAACGACGAATACTATTTTATTTATGCGCGTTTTTATACACTTTCAATGAAAAGTTTGGATAGACGTCAATTAAAATCATTCATTTCTTACTACATTATATTTTAATCAATTGAGAAACACATTAACATTATTTCATTTTTTGTAGAAAACATAATACTTGTAAAAAAGAAAAGAAAAGAAATTAAATTAAACGCTTAATATAATATGGTAATGTCAAATCATAAACAATCCTGATTGCTGCAAAAGCTTATTAATTAAATTTTGATATATTTAATGAATTTGAATAACAATAAAGTCATATGAAACACGTGCTGGAATAAAATAATGTTAAACAAAATGAAGACCATTAGCATGTAAATAAATATATAATGTAAATGTAGTAACTGTAGCCAAACTTTTGGTTGATAGTGTATCCATATACTTACGTATATTATATAGTACTATACAGTGTACTATGGTGTATTATACTAAAGCTTCACAAACTTTTTTATTTAACGATCCCCTATACCCGAACAAATATTTTCACGATCTCCTGTATATAGATTCTATAGAATCTTTTCTTTCACTATAATAAACTCACAGAGGTCATATTATACCTGTGCAGTTGTCAAACTGCACTTGAATTAATTATCGATCGTTGCTCGTCCAGAAATTGTTTACTTTTGTTAAAATTTCTGCGACCTAGTACGGGTGGGGGGTCTCGCTCTTTGAGAAACCCCATACAATAGTATACTATAGTATTATATATTATACATACAGTGGCTTAGAAAAATCTGATTATCATAAATAGATAATGACAAATATTGATTTTAGATATTAACATAGAACAGTATTAGTAAATATCCGTATGGAGAAATCACTATATGGGATAAATATCGTTGACGGATATGCGAAAAGTTAGCGCGTGTTAAATCCATCAACCAACGATTTTGAGATTTTCATGGGCAACCGGGGACACTGACGAAGAGATTAAACCGTGCTATTCGTTCGACATCGAGAGGATCTCTCGGTGATTGATAAGCGCGGTTATTATTGACACGTGCGTGTATTTCAAGAGTAAAGTAAAGCAAAGTAAAATGAAAATAAACGGGGGGAGGGGGTGGGGAAAACAAAAAAAAAAGAAGAAAAAGGTAAAGAAAGAAAAAAAAGAACAGAAATAATGGGAATTAAAAAAAGGATTCCTTCGTTGGGGGAGGGGGGTGGGAGGAGACCCCCGGGGAATTTTTTTATCGGACGTAAAGAGAAAGAGACAGAGAAAAAAGAGAAATATTAAAGGAATGACGAAATCACGTGTGTACACGTATATTCGTTCGTTTTAATAATAATAAATCTTGAACGTTTGTGTAAGTGTGTGTGGATTAATCTTTAAATAAAAAATTTCTGAGTAAACAATTAAATCGGAACCTTTAACCTCGTCGAAGCCTTTACCGCGAATATGGACATTTGGTATTAAAAAAATTCTATTCAAATATATTAATTTATAATTCCACTCGAGAGAGAAAAATCATCACAAAAAAGAAAAAAAAAGAAAAAGAAATAATATTTTTCCTTGATATAATTTTTATCATAAATATAATTGAATAAATTTATAAATTTCCTTGTCGATCGTTTGAAATAAATCATAATCCGGCATTGATGAGGTTAAACTTGAAATGAAAAAAGAAAAAAAAAAGAGAAAAAAAAACAAAAAACTTAAGTGAGAATGGAATAATTGGTTGTATAGAAAGTTCACGTACGTTCAAATATGACAAAAATAAACATACACACACACACACACAGATGTATGCATAAATATATACAGTATATAGGTAATTAGGATGATAAAACATAGTATAAGAATATGTCTTTGATACCGATTAAAAGCCCGCTAAAACAGATTTGGTTTCCCTCATTCGAATGGAAAACACATTTACATGGACGTGTGCATAAATGCATCTACACGCATCATATACACGTGTGTGTGTGTGTTTCTCTAAGCGATACTCGGAAATCTCATCTCTTTCTCGTCGTTTTGTTCACGACCTTGCTGATCTTAGATTGTACAGGTCGCGATATAACACGTACATACATATGAATGTTCAAAAGAGAAAAAGAGTAAGAAAGAGAGAGAGAGAGAGAGAGAGATAGAAAGAGAAAATTATCGGATCGAAATCTTAGTCGAGAGTGTGAAGTATCGATAAACACTGAGATAAAACACACATTTTACTTAACTGTACATACATATATATATATATATATTATATATATATGTGTGTGTATGTACATATGTGTCTTTTACATTTACCCAACAAGCCACTATAGATATTCAAAAGTATTCGTCGTTTAATATTATTTAAATTTTTTCTCGACAAAAAAAACAATATTTATCAAACGAAATTACTAACAAGACAAAAATCATTTGCATAAAATATCAAATACGAGGTATAAGAATAGTTTACTCGTTTGTTCGAGAACGATCTAAGGATTTAATCGATTTAAAAACGTCGATCCATTCGTTTACGTTGCAAAGGTAAAATGAAAAAAAGAAGAAGAACAAAAAGTGAAAGAGAAAGAGAGAGAGAGAATGATCGATAGATCATTAAAATCGTATGTAAATGATATTTCTCTCTTTTACATTCTCATCGTATTATGTCGAAGGGAGATAAACGCATAAAGATAGATTTAAAATCATGGTGCTCCAACAAACAAAAAAATAAACAAACAAACAAACAAACAAACAAGCAAGCAAGCAAGCAAGCAAGCAAGCTTATGCGTCTTGTTTTAAACTCGTTTCTATCGCAATATCCCATTGTTTATCTTCCGATAAAAGAAAGAGAGAAAGCGTGAAAAAAATAGCGACGAAGAGTGAAAAAGAACGAGAGAGAGAGAGAGAGAGAGAGAGAGAGAGAGAGAGAGAGAGAGAGAGAGAATAAAATTAAAAATGTATAAGCGAGTAAGTGTGAGAAAGAAAGAGAAAGAGAATTAATATGAAAGAAAATTCTATATTAGCAAAGTATAATAAAAAGGAACAAAAAAAAACAAAAAAGAGAGAGAGAAAGAGAGAGAGAGAGAGAGAGAGAGAGAAGAAAAGTATAGAAATGTAATTAAAAATCGATACACGTTGTTGATCACAATCGATAGTTACTACACCCCTCATTCTTTCTCTCTTTCTCTTCCTTCCTTTCTCTCTCTCTCTCTCTCTCTCTATCTCTTTCTTTTCATTTTTCTGTAATCTTTTGAAACAACGAGATTCGACGACGTGCTACGATATTTCGTACTTTGATTTCACCCTGTAAATGAATTATAAAAGAGAAAGAAAAAGAAAGAAAGATTGTATGTGTGTGTGTGTGCGTGTCTGTGCGTGTATGTATGTGTTAGAGGCAAGGTTAATGAAGGGAAAAAAAAAAAGCACAGTATACTCACACATATTTATATTATACACACATGTACACAAAAGAATAAACACAAAGAGAGAAAAACGTTTTTCTCAGGCGTATGAAAATGAGTTGAAGGAAAAGAAAAATAAACATTACGTTTTTTGAGTACACTAAAATACACAGAAATAAGAAAGAAAGAAAAGAGAGAAAGAGAGAGAGTGAGAGTGAGAGTGAGAATGAGAGAGAAAATAAGAGAGAACGAGAGAGAGAGAGAGAGAGAGAAAGAAAGTAAGAGAGAAAAAATGTGAGAAACGCGCTGGAGACTCGTCCGTAACACTCATCGCATTAAAAACCGCGCATATTTCGATCGTTATGGATGCCGCAGTTGATTTTGTGAACGTAAAGTGATCTTTTTTCGGTTTATTAGACGAAGGAATGCATATCATAGTTGTAAATTACCAATTTGTGAAATAAAAGCTGCAAACTGTTTGTGTTAACAATAATAATAATAATATAATTATCGTACGTTATCGGCCGACGAGAATGTCTGACCACTCGTCGGCCGTATCCCCTTTTTCCGTTATTCTAAATTGAATTTTAATAATATGTTAATTAAGACCACCGTTGCAAATCACATTTGACATTACACGATTCTTTTATTTATTTTTAATTGTATCGTTTAACATTCATTTTTCGTTCATTCGTTGTACGCTCATTAGAGTGAACAATCAAATTAACGAGATTGGGTTGAAAAGCTTTGAGCCTAATTCAAGCCTTGTTCAATCCCACTGAAGTAATTGAAAAACTTTGAAGAAAATCCTACGTTTTCGATATTCATTGATTTAATAATAATAATGCACTATTTTTCAAATAACGAGCCACCTTTTATATTATTGAGATTATTTCGTGTTATCTATACGTATTTGCAGGAAGAAGGGATAGAAAAAGGGTAAGTCGATGGAAGATAATAAAATTAAATATAGAAATATAAAATGTAAGGAAGGAATGAAATAAAAATAATAATAAATGTAATATGACAAAAAATAAATGTTTGTTTCGCAGGTGTCTTTGGCGTTGGGATTGGATGCAGGTGGTTGGGGTGCGTTGGTTGAAAGATCGAGCGGTCATCACCACAGCGGAAGTGGAACGGGTGGAGGTGCAGGGTTGATCGGTCACGGAAGTTTCGCAAGTTTGGCGGGTTTGGCACGGCGTTGCGGAGTTTGTTTGGCCACGTTTCCGTCAGCCTGGTTGCTCGAACGTCACGCGTTGCTGCAACACGCTGGTCAATCGAACGACGACAAACCGTTTACGTGCGAGCAGTGCGGTCAACGTTATCGTTACCGTTCAGCTTATGTTAAACACCGCGAGCAGAATCATCGTGCACGATTGCCGGCCGACAAGTTATTCACCTGCGACGTATGCGGCATGCAATTCAGGTATCTTAAATCGTTCAAGAAGCATAGACTGAATCACGCGTTAGAAAGATTGCAACGGGCACCTAGCGATACGCATAATGCTGTATTAACCGCATCGCCGGTTGCGGAAAGAAGCGATCAAGTGTCGAGTACGGGTGAACCTAGTCAAATAGAAACGGGTAGCGATTCTACTACTAATCTGGGTGACGTCGAGGAGTCCAGGGGAATATATTCGGAGAATGCGAGAGGCGAGGAAAGTGTATCGGAGACAACGAGTATTCAAGATAATCCAGGGGAGACAATGCTCGAGGTGCAGATGACGGAATCCGAGACCACGGCGAGAACAACGACAACGACGACGACGACGACGACGACGACGACGACATCGAGTGGTGGTGGTGGTGGTGGTGGTGGTGCTGCTAGTGGTGGAATTGGTATTGTTGGTGGTGTTAGGACGTTAGCTAGTATCATCTCTCCATCGGCAACTGGAAGCGAAATTGGCTTGAACATTGGCACTAGTAATAATACTACTACAACGACTGACGTAGTTGCGGACCCTGACGAATCTGTCCTAGATGATGGCGAACGTAACGAAACACCGGACGCGATGATGATAGGTTTGGCACGAACCGGACACGAGGCTGATAGACGCGAACGACGTTTCGCGTGTCCCTTCTGCGGCAAATGCGTCAGATCTAAAGAAAATCTAAAATTGCACGTACGCAAACACACCGGTGAACGTCCCTTCGTTTGTCTATTTTGCGGTCGTGCTTTTGGGGGTAAAAGCGATCTCACTAGGCATCTTCGTATACATACTGGCGAACGACCTTATCATTGCGAAATGTGCGGAAAATGTTTCGCCCGTGCCGATTATCTTTCCAAACACTTAACCACCCATATACATCAGCGTTAATGTCTCGCACGATTATTTCATTCGATTAGATGATTTATCTTATATTTTTCTTTTTTTTCTTTTTTTTTTTTTTTTTTTCTCTTTAAACAAAGGAACTAATTTTTCCTTCCCTTTGCACATCTACTCGTGTTTACAAAAAAAAGAAGAAGAAGAAGAAAAACAAGTAAAACATAAACTGAACGAACGTTGTTTTAATCGAGCAACTAATAGAAGAAGAAATAAATGAAATGAAAATAATATCTCCTTCTTCACATGAGAGACGCGTCAATTACACGAGATGGGGCATGCTAAATGAATAAATAGTAAAAAGAAAGGAAGAAGGGTTAGAAAGGGAAGAATTTTGACCTGTAAGGTACAACATAAGTGAGACTATCTCTTGTGATAAGGATTCGATACCAAAGAATAATAATGAATGCAACGATGCAACAACGGGTGATAGTCGACACAATTATTTTATTCCTTTTTCTTATTCCTTTTCTCTATTTTGTATTTCTTGTCTTCTTCGTCCTCTAACTCCATAAAAGCGTGATATAACTAAACATATATTATATATTTATAACATTTATAATAATTAATCTCGATCTCCTATATTGAAATAATATATTAAATATTATTTATGTGCGAGATTAGTGCAACCTCGAACACGTCGCTCGAATCTAATTTATATATATATATATATATATATATATTTTGTTATTATTATTATTATTAATTTCTTTATTTTTCCTTTCTTTTCAACTTCTTCATGGATACCGGTTGTAAATTACGCGTACGTTTAATTCATTACATGCGTAAATTATTTTCCCCGTGAAACGCGAAAGAAATTTAATTTTTTCCAAAGCAAGGAAAACAAGAAAAATAATTGACATTTAATCGATGGATTTTTATTTGAAAGAATTTCCCTGAAGAAGTCAATGACAATTTCTGTTATTTTTTTTTTTATATATATATATAATAATTTTATCTAACCTACTCGTGATATCGTAGAAATTATGAAAAAAAATGTGCCAAAGGACTAAAAAAACTTTCTCTCGGATCAAGGAACGTTTTTCCTTTCAATTATTCTCTTTGATTTATTTATATTATTGTGAATAAAAAAACACTAAGAAACGACAACAACGAAAAATCGTAACATCGACTCTCGTAATAAATAAATAAATAAATTAATTAATTAATTAATTAATTAATATTTCTCGACGCGTGTTCGTCGTTGACATTTAAAGGGTACAGTGATAAAACATAGTCGGTTAAGATTTAACACAAAGTATTTTTATTTTAATGTTTTATAATTACAAACGGAATAGATTGTTTCCTAGAATGAATTGACAACAAAAATATATATATATATATATATATATATAAATATTTGTTCGTTTGAAAAACCAAATGATAGAATTGAGACCGAATAATTAAAACCGAAACATGTTATATAATAAATCGACTGTACCCTTAATTTGTTGTTAAAAGAAATCATCTTTCGAGTATAAGTGAGTTGCCGGTGCCTTCGAGAATCCCTTTTACCAACCCTTCCTCCCTTTTACAAAACTCAACGAATCCTTTTAAATGCGTATAGCAATAAAAAAGAAACAGAAGAGAAAGAATAGAAAAAGAAGAAGAAGAAGAAACGAAACAGAAAAAGAAAGAAAAGATTTCATTTGATTGTTCGCGTTAACTATACGAACAATTAGTTGGAAAATAGTCCACAAAATCCTTCCAACAATTTCATTGATTCTTCATATCTTTTTGTTAATCTTTTTTTTTTTTCGATATACACATTCGAATGAGGAAGAAAAAAAGAAGAAGATAAAAATAAGGAAGAAGAAGAAGAAGAAGATGAAGAAGAAAATAAAAAACATACATAAAAATATAAACACATACACGCGAACAGATATAAACACATGCAATGTATGCAATGAAGAGAGTGCCGGCTCATTCTCCAGGGTACCGGCTTGTTTTCGTAAGGATCATTCTTATCATATTTTTATTAATTAAATTGACAAAGAAAAGAACAAAAATTATACGAACAATTAACCATTTAACTACGAATTACGCTTATAAGCGTCCAATAACGTCAAACATTACAATTAATATGTTACGCGATTGGCAGATTTTTTTTTTAATTATTCCGCAGTCAAATGGTTTAATAAAAAAAAATGTTTCTTAATGCAAACTATATGAAATCGTAATTATCTCTTTTTCTCTACTCTACTCTCTCTCTCTCTCTCTCTCTCTCTCTTTTTTTTTATATATGAACGTAATGTAACGATGGTAATTAATATATATATAATATATATATGAATCTTGAGTATGAATAACACAAAAAAATAAAACAATTATTATTTTCTTATTTTTTTTTTTTTATATTTTTTTTTACAGTCCTTACGAAAACTGGCCTCCCGACAAAGACAGTTACTCTCATAGTTTCTAATTAATATATATTAATAATAATTATAATAATAATAATAATAATAATAATAATACTAATAATTACGATGACGATTATGATAATGATGATAATGATGAAGATAAAGATGATGATGATAATGATGATGATGATGATGATGATGATTATGATGATAATGATAATGATGTTGATAATGTACTCGCTAACTCGGTGTCTGCGCATTTCCAATACAAAAACGAAGTCGAATAACGAAGGTGCTATCTAAATAAGTAGAATTGATCGCTAAATACCGAGCTGTAATAATCATCTAAAATCATGTTTTTATGAGAGAAAAAAGAAGAAAGAAAGAAAAATAAAGAGAGAAAAAGATAGACAAGAGTGTCGCCTGTGCCAAAATGAAAATCTGCTAAGATAAAAAGAATGAAAGATGAAAGAAAATAAACATATATAAAAAATAAGCATACAAAAATGTGCTATTATGAAATGATGATGAATGATGATGATAAAAATCATTTAATTCAACGGAAAACAAAATGATGAACAAGAATAAGAAAAAGAAGAAGAAGAAGAAGAGGAAGAGGAAGAAGAGAAATAATAAAAAGGATGAAAGACTTCATTTTTTTCCCTCCAAAAAACCGGCTCGGTAATCTAAACGCGATATAAAGCCAATTTAAATATATATATATATATATATATAATTATTATCCGTAATATTAACTCGTCTCGTTAAACGTGTCATTTTATTATTCTACGTCGATAAAATATTTATAAATATTTTTCTCTCTCTCTTTTAAATTCGTGCTCACTCGACGACGAATTAATTAGAACGGAGATGATTAATTAATTAAATAAATAAATAAATAAATAAATATATTGATCGATAGATAGATAGATAGATAGATAGATAGATAGATAAAAAAAAAAGATGACGACGAAGGAGAAGATAAAAACGTGTCCAACGAATGTCAACGAGTCTCAAGGCGAGACGTGGGAACATTTTGTTAATGCGATAACATTAGAATATTTATTAACCCTTTCTTTGCGATATAATTTTTTGCAAATGAATTATCGTTCCATACAAAATACGTAAACGCGTATCGTGAAATGGTATCCGACCTGTATTTCGGTTGGCAGGATTTCGCACTTTCGAACCATTAAAAAAGCGTTGAGAAAGAAAGAAAGAAAAACAAAATCGAACCAAATAAAAAAAAACATAAGAAAGAAAATTAAAAAAAAGAGAAATATTATAATATATATTTATATATATTTTTTTTTTCTGTTGTCCATTCGTTTTCGTTCTACCCTACCCTCTCGCCTAATATAATATATAATATGTTGCAAATTTTCTGCATCCTTAGGGAGAAAAGCGAAACAAATAAAAAAGAAAACAAAAAAAAGAAGAAGAAAACAAAAAAAAATTAATCGAACTCGCTAATTAATAAAACTAACAATACCGAGATCCATTTCGCGAAATGTTTATCTATAAATGAAATAAGAATACAATATGGCGAGATGCGAATGAAATTAAACGAAATGTATGAGAAGAAAAAATGGAATATTAAAATAAAACATGAACGAATGAACGAACAAACGAACGAACGAACGAACCAAACTATAACGAAATAAAAATGATAAGTAAATAAATGAAAGAAAGGTAGAGAAAGACGTATAGAAAGAAAAAACCGATTCCATGGTGCCCAGCGTTTCGTTCGTTGCGATGACTAAAACTACTTCCACACGTTTGACCAATGCCGTTTCGTTTCTACTGCGTCCGCGAGATCTACTTCAATATCTCTTTTCCTTTTTCGACATGTGTAAAAGTTTCTTCTTTAATTTCTCTTCTATTTATAAAAACAATAAGATTAAAAAAAGGATTTTAATCTAAAGATAAGAGAGAATGGCAAGCTCGAATATTCAGTCATACATATTCATTCGCATATTCATTCATACAATTTTCATTTACAATCATTTATTAATGTGATTTCTTTTATATATATATATATTTAATAATTATTGAATGTATTTTATTATAAATAATGCCACATTATTCCGAGTTGCCAATACGTCAGTTCGATAATATTTAGATACTTACGACAAATGCATACACACAGAAAAAGAAAGAAAAAGAGAAAGAGAGAAAGAGAAAGTATTATTCTGAAATAATAATAATAATGATTGTGATGTTCTCTCAAGTATATAGACCACAGGTTGGCCGTGCCAGTGAAAACGAATGAAAGTGCTATTTTACTTAGGCATACATATACACGTAACACACATACACAGATAAGCAAACATACACACACAATGATAACGTGATGATATAAGAAAAATAACTAAAATGCATATACCAAAGGACAGAAAAGTATTTCGTTCCTCGTACCTCACATTGTATGATAATTATTAATACATACATAATAAATTACATAATGATTACATACGTTACGTGACAATCGAAAATGATTTACATATATTATACAGGTGCACTCGTACAAGCTTTCAAGTTAGATCACTCAGGAGACTAATTATATTAACTTTTTCTTTTTACTACAACTCTGGATGAAATACATATAATATTTATTCTAAGCTAATGGAAATCATTTTTATGATTATCAAAATAATAGTATATGTATAACTGAGAGAGTAACTAGCACGATTT